AAAGTTTTTTTCACCTCTCTTCTTTCTTTTCCAACCAAAAAAAACTAAGAAATGAAAGAGGAAGGGAAAGAAAAAAAATAAGAAAATATACACTCTAATTAAAAGGAACTATATTCGTGGGCAACGAAAAGCGGGGTCATAAATTGTGGTCTTGGGCCTCCTTAACAATAGAACTTGACTAAAACGTTCAGCTGATTTTTACAGAGTTATCTCCCTGTATTGTTATGTACCACCTTAATTATCAATGGTATTTATCTTGGTAAAGTGCCCATTATTTGTAGTCCAACAAAAAGTGTTGCTTGGTTGCAAATGAGTTTTTGTTCTAATTATAAGTATTACTCAGACTGTAGAGGATTCTTTGTACAAATTGTTTATAGACACATTTAGAAAATAGTAAGATATCTTGGTTCAAACTGTCTGGGGGAAAGTTGTCCATAGATGGATCTGTCTATTATTTTAAATTCTTTTTTGTCATATAGTTCATACAAACGCTTCAGAGCACCACATTAAGAAAGGAATATTTTCATTATGAAAAAGTTCTTGTGTCTTTACTATTTGTGTCATTTGTTTTTTATGTTTCGTGTCGATCTGGTCAAACCTCCCTCAACTGATATGGTTAACCCTGCCATATTTGTATGTGTATATCCAAAGTCAGGAGTTACTATTCATTGGCTATTGTGGTCGCTGTCAATAACATTTGTTTTTCGTATATTACATTTTAAGATCAAGCTGTTTTGGTTTTTTCGTTTGAAATGTTTTACATATTGCCATGTCGAGGCCTTTTGTAGCTTATTATACGGTATAGGTTTCGCTAATTATTGATGGTTGTACGATGACCTATAGTTGCCTACATCTACGTCATTTGGTCTCTGGTTTATAGATGTATCATTGTCAATCATATTACATCTTTTTATATTTATATTACCATAGAAACCATCGAGCCAACTTTTCAAATAATTGATTAAAATACTTTGTATAACAGTTTCAAAAAGATGGAATATAATATAAAAGTCAGCTGTCACATATAAAAACAGCATGTCAGATAAATTATTTTTAAAGCTATACAAAACTCAATTCACCTAAATAATATAACGATAAATAATGATAAAACGCAATCATTTTTACCGAGTCATTATTATTAAAGGGTATTTAAATGTTTAATTAACCTAAACGCAACAAGTGACCTTTGGCAAGCTTTATTTCAAGTTGCGATTAGCTGCGTCAATCGTTATCATTCTTCACAAGAGTCGTCAAAGTTTTATTTCTACTATGATTCGCAGGTGATTTACCAATCAACACCCTTGTTACTACTGGTGGACTTTGTCCTCTTAATATTGTCAAGGTACTACCATGTTGGATTCTCACTTTAAGCGTACTTAGCGTTCCCGCACTGACATCAGGTCAATGTAGTCGTTTCCGGTACATTTACTGTTCATAAATAGTTAAAATCATTCGAAACATTTAAAAGGTTTGTTACACTCAGTCATAACATTAGTAATTTTGGTTTTGAATATTTAATACTTGTCAACTTGTTAACTGGTTAGTCGTTGTTACTTTGTGGTTCGGTAGCAACTGAATTATCATTAATATTGTAAAAACTGTAAGTTAACTGTTTACAAGACTTTTCGAAATACTAAGGATTTTAAACCCCAGGAATAGATCACCTTAGCTAAATGTGGTAAAACCATTTGTAATTTTAGGTCTTAAATGCTTTCCACTTCGTAATTTTATTTTGACCTTTTAACATTTTTTATTCGAGCGTATTTGTCGAATCTTTTAAAGACAAAACACGCGTATGGCATACACATTTTAATCCTGGTATCTGTGATAAGTTTATTTATAGAAAAATTGCGTGTCTGGCAAACTTATTTAGAAGCCGACTATCTTAAATGAGTTTCTACACAAACAGCATGTAAAATCATTACACAAAACCGTGAAGCATTAAAGGGTGATATTTATCATTGATGTATTATTTCAAAGTAATGAGCAATGTATAAATCATGAGTCGGGTTTTCATATATACAATCAACAAAGAACATGCGTCTGTATTTTCATAGAATATACAGGAATAGTGTCGAGAATTGCTGAAGCCAGATCATAATTTAACACCATGAAGGGCATGTTGTTCTCGTACACAAGATGTCGGAGATACGGTTTGCAAAATGATGGCCGTTGTTTTTACGTCTTATATATGATCCGTATTTTCTTTCATAACTGTTTGTGCATTTTATGATACAACGAACGCTTAGAGAACTATATCCCGCTGGTCTACTTTCACGCCTGGTTGAACACTTGTCAGAGTCCGTTAAGGATCCATGATTGTAAACATCGCTTTTGCTTAATCTTTCAAAGTAATATCCCTTGTATAGGATCCACCTGTGCTTATTAGATTTAGTGCTTCTTGATGGTGCCTTTCGCTTCCCATTGTTCGTCATGCAGGATAAAACTGTAGTTCCAAAATAGTATGGCTCTCCTATAGAAGGATCTACAAGTTATAAAAGATGTCTTTCGTTAGTTTTCTAAAAGTTTCTAACAAGTATATTTATATTCATTTTATTTCTCTACCATGACAATTGTAAACATGTAAACTTGCATAATATCATACCTTTCTTAAACTGTTTATTATCTTGGGTATATTCTGTAACCACTTACACCTTATAACATTTTCGTTTTCGTGTTAGCTTTTTCCTGTTAGGCGATATTGGTACATTAATGTATGTCAGAAAGATATGAATTCAAAAGAGATGAATGGTGAACTGTAGTTGAAGAGCATTTCAACAAACCAAGAACTATTTTTGTTAGGTACTGTCATATAAACTTTTACCTTTGAATGATCCCTAATGGTATCATTCTCAGGTAGGTTGATTGTTGTAATATTTACTTTTATACCATCTTTTTTATTCATATGTATACGGGTTTGTATACGATCTTCAATAACACATAAAAAGCGGTAACAAGAATGGACATTTGTTATATTAGATCACATTAAGTACCGGTAATTCACAAATTTAACAACATTTTGTTGAGTCTGCTATATTTTTTATAAAGATAAATATCTAATTATTCTCATATATCTCATAAAAAAATTTAGACGCCTTGAAATAAAGGATATCACATATAGTATAAGTTGGCTTCATATCGTAGCTTTCATATTAAATTGGCTGTTAGGATCGGTTAAGAAATTATTTTACAACAAAACAGATGACTTCAATTTTGAACTTTCGTCTGCCAAAACTCCACCACCAGCTTCATAGGGTATGTGTCTCCCAATTGACGAAATATTCCAGGGTTGTCATTTCCTTTTATAATAGTGATAACAGATTGTTGGCAAAGAAGATATTAAACAAAGGGCTCTGCATGGTAAACAGGGGGTAAATCTTTCGAATGGTTTACGGACGCAATCATAATTTGGATGATCGTTGTGAAACATCCCTGTCAGAGATTACCGCACATATGTTTTATTTGTCGTAGCCAACATCTTAACATAATTTCCTCGTTTAAATACTACCACATTTTATATTAATTAGTATTGTAATTTTCATTGTTATTAATAAATGTTATATGAGTATTTTAAACCAAATCTTGAATTCTGTCCTAATTCTATCCTATTTTGGGGAAATTTCAGAAATTCAAATGTGACGTCACCTTTTTGTTGGCGTTGATCTCTTTGGCTAACTCGGCTGTGAATTTTTATGTGCTGGTTTATGTTGTTTTATGTATCTGTTTATATTCTGTAGTTAGTCACCACTTCGGTGTTATCATGTATATCCATTATATAGTCATTTGTATAAATTTACTGTTTGCAAAAGTATGAATTATTCTAAATACTAAGGATGTTCATATCCCAGACATATAACATTAGCCGTATTTGGCACAACTTTTTGGAACTTTTGGTCCTCAATGCTCTTTAACTTTGTACTTGTTTTGGCTTTCGAACTTTTTTTATCTGAGCGTCACTGGTTAGTCTAGTGTGGACGAAACGCGCGTCTTAAATTTTAAACCTGGTACCTTTTGTTGGCTATTATTCGTATGTTTCTCTGTCCTACATGTTCTCCCATTTATTTGTATTGTAGTCCTGTCATGTAATGTTGTCATTTTAATGTTATATTTAACATTGCCATAAAAGCGGGAGGTTTGGCTAGCCACAAAACCAGGTTCAACCCACCATTTTTTTCTTAACATGTCCTGTACCAAGTCAGGAAAATGGCCACTGTTATATTATAGTTCGTTTCTGTGTGTGTTTCATTTTAATGTTGTGTTTCTGTTGTGTCTTATATTTGATGTGTTTCCCTCAGTTTTAGTTTGTAACCCGGATTTGTTTTTTTTTCTGAATCGATTTATAAATTTCAAACAGCGGTATACTACTGTTGCCTTTATTTAAGACACTATTGATGGGCTATATCACTGTCTTTTCTTGCTATTCATGCATCAATTAAATTTGTTTATAAGCAATATTTTGTTTAAATATTGTTTACTTTCCAAAAATGCGAAGAATGTTCGAGTTGCAGTTGGTCGGTATCACAAATATTCAAACGCAGTTGTATTTGGAAAGCTTACAATATATAATTATTTTTGCTTATGTTGAAAAAGATAATGAAAATTGTACATTTTATTGAGCATATAAATTAAAAAGAACTCTTTCAAATGTTTAGCTACTAACATTTCAAATTATGGAATTAGAGATCATGTGACAATTTATTGGCAAGGTGGTTTCTTTGGGTTGACAGTACAGGCCATACTTATTTCAACGGAACATAGACGATTTATTTGTAACATTAAACATTAACAGTTAATGTTAAATGCATACAGTATTTTATTCAATTTAGATGCATTTGTTCTTTACTGAATAACATTGCGTGGATCGTTTTGGATGATGTTTAATGCATTTCAATAAACAAGTTGAAGTCATTGTACTGATGACAAATTCATGATACAGAAAAATAATGAAATATTGTGTGATTTGTATTGAGCTAAATATCCATATATATATATATAATTACCATTGCATTTGTAACGCTTTATGCTGCCAGTCCACCAACTAGCGGAGTTTGTTACTAGTACTACTAACACCAAGAAGATTATCTGCATCAGAAAATATCATCAATACATAATAAACAATAAAAATATACTAATATGCGCATAAGATATACACAGTGTTTTATAATCACCTACTGTTAATTAGGAATTTTAATTCTACAAAAATATATAAAACATTCTAAAATGAACTCCCATTTGCATTATTAAATAAGAAATTGTGGTTGTTAAATATGTCATAGATGATTGATAAGTGTGAAAAAATACGTATTCGAATTTCGTACTCATTCTACGAAGCAGCTGAAGAAAAATGAATTGGTGAATCAAAAGCTAAAATCAGTAGAATAAAATATTCACTTCAACGTTAACTTAAACCCTTGATTATAAAGCGTATATTAATGAACAAAAAATTATAAGTAAAAAAATTGATTTGCATTTTATATGAATACATGTTACTACTTTGATGTTCCTTTTCTAGGTTTGTATGATTTATTCAATGTTCGATTCCAGAAATATCTTGTATTCGGTTGACGTATCATTTGGTAAAACTTTACTTAAGAATGTGAAATGATATACATTAGGATGTCAACGATTATTCGAGTACTCGAGTATCGCTCGGTAGTACCGAGTATCGAATACCAAATGGTAATCACTCTAGTAACCGGCTTCTGTTAGAACGACCCGAAAAGTACTGGTTGGTTTTACGTTCAAAACTTTTGAATGTAAACCAAACCAGTACTCTTTCGGGAATTCTTCACCGAGTTGACATCCAACAAATATTGATTTACGAGGAAATTCCTTGCATTTGATCACCGTTTATTCAAACCGAAGACTTTTAAACTTTGTTTTTCTTCTAGAAATCAGCTAAATGCATTGCAATTGCGATAAATATTAAAACTTTGTCAACATAAATCAGAATAATGTATTCGAGAAAGGTGACATTTCTTTTTTAAACAATAGGCAAAATCCATACAATCTGATAAATCTCTAAGAAGCACGGGGATGACAAAATATGAAATTAACCAACCGTGTTGTTGTTTGCTAAAATGATAATGGCAGACAGCAACCAACGATACCTACTGAACTATAGGTTCATGGCTTAGGAAAGGCACATACGGAGTCTGGCTGATTCAAAATACCTTTGAATGTTCAACCCTGCTACTACCGGACTGTATAACAATAGAACAGTAAACATGAGTTGAGTAAGGGCTAGATTCACCTTAGCGCAAGCAAGGTTACTTACGGACAACAGCTCAAAGTATCGACCAAGGAGTTCTTTCAGTTACTAAAAACTGGTTCAAAGCTCAATATCAACTAATCAAAAGACAATGTTTCTCTAACTACAATATCAAACAAAAAACCTTGAACGGAACTTGAAACCCACTAGAAACCAGGATATAATTCAGGTGCTCCGGAAAGGTAAGTATATCCTGTTCCAAATGTGGCACCCGTCGTATTGCTAAAAAAAGTACTACTTTGGTGATAATTCCAATTAGGTCATAGTCGACGAAAAGAAGACGATGGTTACAATAAAAACTTGACTTAATTTTCTAATCAACAAATTGTTTTACTTTCTTACCGTAAGTGCTAATTGCATGATGAAGTTGCAACTGTATTCTAGACTGGGTATGCTGCTATTAAATTCACATTTTTGGAAATAGATATGCTTTACAAAAAATGGAGATGATGGAACAGGCGTTATGTAATTCATTCTACTTCCTCGATATTTAGTATCAGGAAGTTCAAAATGATTTTTTTTAGCTATTAAATTGTGATTGGCTGTGGAATAGCTTTCAGTAACTACAAGTACTCTCAGATCTGTTCTTTGTGTCTTTAGTCAGAATATTTATGATAGTACGGAGTACAGTCTAATCATATTTACGACAAAGCCCTGAATTAAACAACTGAGGAGTATCGAGATAAACGACTTATAGTTAATGAGATAACTCCACTAGCCGTGCGATCCTCTAAGGGTAATCGAGAACTTATACACTCCCGTAGTAGAAGATAACCCTTTTGTCAATTGTCGCTAATTATACATAATTGTTTTGGAATTAAGACGATTAAACCGTCTTTTATTTACTTGTATGAAACAGTACAACGCATTTATTTTCTTCGTTGTGTCCTTTTTAGTATAATGTCCTTTTCGAATAATTTTCGCATAATCTATATTTTCTCCCTGAAAACGGTTACCTCAGTGAGACTGGGGTTCTACAGGAAACAGCAGACGGAACATTTGTTCTCATATTAGAACATGTCTTGTAGCCTTATTAATGTATCATATTACTTCCGTCTATTCACATGAGATATGTTTGTTATCATTTCAATTCCTAAAAACGAATAGTTGATTTAAACAATTATATATTTTCATCATATCTAATCAGAACAAAAACTGATTTCAATTATCTTTCTGACAATACCACAATTCAATAAATGAGAACATCAGTAACATAAACCATTTTAAAAACAATTATTAACGAAAAAAGTGGAAATTTTTAGGGGAGAATAAACTCTTGAGGCTTATTTTGGCCCTAAAAATCAATGAAATTTAAAACGACAAATAGCTAAACATTATTCAACAAAACTTTCAAGGAAATTAAATATTTATCTACACGAACCCACTTAAATTTGTGGGAAAAACGTGGGAAGTTTCACAATTTTCTCTTTCTTTTTCGATACCCCTTGTTGGGGAGTAAGAATATCCTTTATTTCAAGTTCAATGCGATAGACAGGATTAGACAGGATGATTAAGCTTGATGATCTTAACTTAAGGATAATGCTAGCTTTTATTGAGGTTCTATCTATTATTGCATCTGACGACGAAAGAAATAAACCGACGAGAAACGAAGGAGCACAAATACGTCATCATCATAATTGACTTTAAGTGAAAAATTTTAGAAACATTTGTCCATTCTTAAAAGCAGATACTAGTATTTCCGTTTGCCTTTTCCCATGCAAAAATAGTTGGACTAATGTTTTCCGTTTAAGTGTACAATTACAAAAGAACAACATGTTAGGCATTTGGGAAGGACATATGTTTAGCATTGCTTGGTCTTTGAAGGTTTATATAGATTGAGTGTTTACAAACTTATCACTGGTTTTATTTTTATCGACGTCCTCGCGGCCTTAAGACGTTCGGAAAGATTATAACCCTACTGACTTTTCACGTTTGTTCCATTGTCTGGCGAAATACCCTATGATTTTTTTTAATTGTTTACAGTTGTCTAACCAGTTTGAATTTACGTTTGCAATTTTTCGGCTATTTATAGATAATAATTGACATGTATTGTTAATGTCACCAGTTATACCGAAAAATTATTAAAGTAATATCTTAATGGAACGCTCTTGTTGGTCAAATGAGTAGGTTAGATAGAGCATGAAATGTTGAATTCTAAGATTCTGCAACATGTACGTGTAGATCATGCTGTATAAGTGGGATATGGGTATAAGAGAAGATTGGAAAAGACTGAAATTTGAAGAAGGAAGGTGCTTTAGATTTGACTGATTTATCATGATGGATATTGACTAAATGGAGGGCATTAGAATCTTTGTCCTCAAATTAATGTTGAAATTGACGAAATTAAAAGCAACAATAGTTTATCGATGTTCAAATTTCGGATAAAAATTAAGAAAATACAAAATCAAGATATAAAACAAAAACTGGGGGAATATTTTAAAATCCAATCGCAGCGAGACTGGATGCATCGACAGGGTAAGCGTATCCGGCTATACATTGATCATCCGTCATGCGATTCCACTCATTCAAAATATTACGAATTGTAACATGATAAAATTGGTAAATGTACAGATAAGACTACTTTTCTGGAAGATCTAAGAATGTGTAAGCATGTCTACCATCTAAAGGATACATTGTATAATGTATATTGATTTCCTTAAACCTAGTAGTTTTATATGGATAATGAACGACAATAAGAAGAAAATGTACAAGTCACCCAAAGCTATAGAGAAGTTGATCTTTGATCAATTCATTTGACTGTTTGCCTGCTATTCTATTTATAATAACAGTCAGATGGTGGTGGTTGATATTGGCCACGAGAATCATTAACATAAAGTTTGAACAACTTATAAAATGCTGTGCTCTTACACCACTTTCCCAGAGTAGAGAGAGGCTTAAACGCTACTAAACACGTTTCAACCTGCCATATTCTGTATGTGCCTGTATCAAGTCAGGATCTTGTAATTCGTTCTACATTAGCAGAATATTTTATGAGTGTTTACATATTGCAGCATGGGGGTAAAACCTTTTAATAAAACCGATGCAAAACATCTCTGTTTGTTGTACAAACAAAGTTAAAAAATGTCGTTTTTAAAAATTTTAGATAAACATTACAGTTAAAAACCAGGTACCTCTGACAATATTCTTACGATCATGATATACATTTTAGAGTGAACTTTAGTTTGCAGGTCTTCAAAACCAGATCTTCTTCAACAGTTTGAGAGTAAACATAAGAAATAAAGTCTGTCAAACAACATCAAAGCTTTATATATTTATTATATATATATTACTTGAATTTCAAAATAGCCAAGAGTAAAAGTTGAATTCAAAGTATTGATCACAAAATTATTAGTTATGTCTTTAGAGGAGGATATGCTTTTTTTCTCAACAAATTAACAGATATAGTGCAGGAAAATGTTGACTCCAGTTCATCAGACACACCATGATGGGCAGGTTGTTCTGTTACACAGGATGTCGGAGATACGGTTTGCATATATATGGCAGTTGTTTCCCCACCATCCATATGATCCATATTTTCTTTTATAGTTATTTGTACAGCGTTTGATACAATCCACGCTTAGAGAACTGTATCCGGCGGGTTTTCTTTCGCGATGGGTTGAGCACTTGTCAGAGTCCGATGAAGATCCATAAGTATACTTATCGCCACTGCTTAATCTTTCAAAGTAATATCCTTTGTATAGGATCCATCTATGACTAAGAGATTTAGTGCCTCGCGATGGTGCATCTCGCTTACCTTTCGACGTCATGCAGAATAATTTTGTTGTTCCAAAATAGTACGGCTCTCCTCTAGAAGGATCTACAAGTTACAAGAGATTACATAGGTTAGTTTTTATATATTTGTTTAACAAGCACAATGTATCTTAGTATGTAAAACTCGTGATTTCTCTACCATGGTAATCGTCGTCACATAAACGTGCAAAATATCATTTTTTTCTTAAACTGGTTATCTGGTAATAATCTTTGATAGTGTTTGGTAATCGCTAATACATTATTGCATTTTCGTTTTCGTGTTTGGTTTTTTTTTCTGTAAGGGAATAAGATTACATTAGTGTATGAAAGAAAGATATGATATAAGAGAGACGAAAGATACTAAAGGGACATACAAACTCATAAGTCGAAAATAAGATGACAACTCCATGGCTAAAAAAGAAAAAGACCAAAAGACAAACAACAGTACACAAAACACAACATAGAAAAATAATTATAAAGAATGAGCAACACGAACCCCACCAAGAACTGGGGGTGATCTCAGGTGCATCGGAAGAATGAGCAAAACTACTCCACATGTCATACTAAGTAACTTTCGTCTGATAAAGGGAGATAAAAGGTAAACGCCAGTGAGACATCAATGAACAATGCATTATAAATCTTTGTTAGGCGCTGTCTTATTGACGTATGACAAAATTCCCAGCTTTATCTTTTAGTTCACTAAACAAGCCTGTTCTATAAAGGGTTTCTTTTGCAGCTAGGTTGATTGTTGTTTGATTGATGTTCAGCCCTTATATTTTTATTCATAAGTATACATGTCTGCATACGATCTTAAATAAAACATAAAAAGGTAAAACAATAGGATATATACAAAATTGTAACGGTGTTTTTTCCATTATTCTCGCCTTACTTTTATGGGTTTCTGCATTTAAATATTTTCATTCAAACGCTGATAAAATTGGCTAATTTTGCCACACACACGATGAGTTGTTTCGAATTTTTGAAGAATAAAATTTGGACATGAGCAAAGACATTTTTAACTTCCAATTAATTACATTTGGTTATATGCACTGATTGTTTTTAATATTGTTTATTTTCCAGAAGAAAATGGGAAGTATATTCATGCTGTAATCAAACGGCATTTGAATTGACCTAATGGAAGTCGTATATGGAGAGACTACAATATTACATAATGACTCACTCTTTCTTATGTTAAAACAAATAATGAAATATGTTTATTTTCCATTAAAAGTAAAACAAATGAAACACTATTCTGTCAAATCTCTAGATGGTAACATGTTTAACACATCTTAATCATGGAATTGTGGGTCATATGACAATCTATTGAAAAGATGGTTTCCCTGAAGGTGACCGAACAGTCTATACCCATTCAAACCGGACATAAACGATTTACTTGTCCTTTACACTTAACGGTGTTTAATTTTTTTACCTTTAAATTCGAAATATGTTAGTAAGCCGTATTTATGTATCAGTGATGCATGAAAACGTCATAAAACTATAAACCTTTAAAATGCATTTGCCTTTTCTTGAATAACATTGTATGGACAGTAAAGAAGGATTTTTATAACTTTAGTTACGCATGCAGTCAATTTACTAAAAACAAATTCATGATAATATTATAAAAAATAAGGAAATATGGTATGATTTGTAATCAGACAAATATTCACCAAACACCAAAGGATAATGATGTGAACGACTAATACGTAAGTAAAGGTTTCATATAAAAGAACTCCTTTCTTAATATAATATAATAACGTCGAGCAAAATATAATTATTACATTACGATAGAAATAAAAAGAACACCTAAAGGAGTTAACTTTTTACAAATCATCTGAACGTTTTGATCACACACTATTAATAAAGAGAAATCAAGTTTCTCAATGGTGAAAATTAGTTTTGTCAAAAATGTAACATCACAAAAATACTAAACTCCGTGGAAAATTCAAAACGGAAAGTTCCTAATCAAATGGCAAAATCAAATGATAAAACACATCAAACGAATGGACAGCAACTGTCATATTCCTGACTTGGTACAGGCATTTTCAAATGTAGAAAATGGTGGATTGAACCAAACTGATATATGTCCAATGAAATTATTCCTGTATATTGCGAGGTTCAAATTTCTAGAAATTATTATTTGTTTGGCAACAGGTCAAAGTTAATATTTTGTCAAATTTTTATGAAAATTAAACGAGCTAATTCTATTCTAGTCAAAGTATTTGATACCCCCTCATATTTGTATAATATGTGTATGTAATTTTGATAAATACCACTGCAACTATATCTTTTTCGGCCCCACCACCAACCAGTCGAGCCAGTAACTAGGACTGCTAACACCAAGAAGAATATCTGCATAAAAAACTTCATCCATCAATAATTAGAAATAAATAATATATACTGTTATGTGCATACAATATGGTGTGCGTGTTTTAATGTCAAATTCTGTAATAGGAATCACATACTGTTTATTAAACATTTTACAAAATATGTGAAATGTTTCAATGTAAACTTCAACTTGCAAATTCAAATTAAAAATCAACTCAATAAAAATATGTCCTTGATACTTTACGGACGCCATCACGAGTTGGTTGACCGTTATGGAATAACCGTTTCACAGATGATATCGGATATTTTCCTTATGTCGTAACTACAATAACCTCCCTTTTCACGAATGTGACTTACCGAATTAGACTATTTACCGGATTGGTAATAACATAAGCAACACGACGGGTGCCACATGTGGAGCAGGATCTGCTTACCCTTCCGGAGCACCTGAGATCACCCCCAGTTTTTGGTGGGGTTCGTGTTTCTTAGTTTTCTATGTTGTGTCATCTGTACTATTATTTGTCTGTTTGTCTTTTTATTTTTGGCCATGGCGTTGTCAGTTTGTTTTCGATCTGTGAGTTTGACTGTCCCTCTGGTATCTTTCGTCCCTCTTTTATAAGATATAAAAAAAAGTGTATGTTGGAACTTACATACTAGTTTTACTTAGTAAAAATTATTTTAGTCTTTCATGCTAATAAATACGAATTTTAAATTTCTTTACAAAATTAAAATTTATAAAATACGAATTTCGAGCAGGTGAAAAAATTTGATCAAAATTAAAATCAGTCGAATGAAACAGTTACTTCAACTAAAAATAAATGAAAAAATAATATTTATTATTCCAAATGTTTGTATAATGAGTAAATGTCAAAATAAACATTAATCCTTAATAATAATGCGTATAAAGATAAACAACTAATTCTCAGTGGAAATATACTTAGAATTTCAGGTGTATTAGTTTAGCTACTTTGTTCTGGATTATTATGTGTGTATGCATTATTCAACAATATACATTATTTACATGTTGTTGAAAAATATGGAAAAAAAAATATTTGAAGGAGCATTAGAAACAGGACTAACAGCGAGGCTCTCCGTGCTGTTTTCCTGTGAGTAAAAATTAAATATTATATATAAATTATTTGCCAACATAATACTTTTAAGCTGCTTTCCCCAAAAACGGCTTTAAAAAACTTCTTATCGTTAAGTATTGTAAAGACATCGAAATTGCTTAAACACAGACTGCGAAGAGGACTTAAAAATCGACTGTGGTATCAATAGGTATTTTAACATTGTTGTCTCATAATGGAATCAAGACAGCGAGATACTTTATTTGTTAACTACTCAAATAAAGCAAATGTTAATTCGAAGACTTGTTATTTGTTATTAATGTGTATATCTAGTCGCCCCTGTATATCAAAATTGTATCTTGGCAGATGAACACCCCACACAGGACATAAGAATCCAGAAATATCTTGTATTGGGTCAGTTCTTCTTGTGATAAACGCTTACTAAGGGATGTTGTTTTGATAAATATAAAATTTAGAGGAAATCATTGAATCCTAATGAAGGTCAAATATGGACTTTGTAATTTTTTTCTGATAACAATCAGCTAGATATATTGCATTTATGAGCTAGGTCAAAACTTCGTCCACATAAATCAGAATAATGTATCATAGAAAGGTGACATTTTTCGTAAACAGTGGGTAATACCCATTCAATTTGTTAAGTCATAAGATGTATCAGGATGACAAAATATGAGACAATTTCAAATTGAAAACGAATGCCCTCATTTATGCTAAAAATAATAATGGCAAACAGCAACCAACGACATTTACTGGACTATAGGCTCATGGCTTAGGACAGGCACATACAGAATGTGTCGGGTAAAAATGTTTATGAATGCGTCATTCTCCCCATATCCCTGGACTGTGGTTTTAACAATTCAACAATAGAACAGTCAAATCAGTTGAGTAAGGGTAAAATTTATCAGATGATCAGTACTAAGCGGAAAATTAAAAAAAACAGGTAGCAGACGAAAAATGACTTAACATATCGACCAAGGAGTTCTTGCAGTTACCGAAAGCTGGTTCAAAGCCCAATTTAAAATCGTGAAAAGATCATGTTTCCCTAGCTACAACATCAAACTAAAAAAAAAAGCTCTAACGGAACAAGCATAAAATGTTACACTCGGCGTGGGAAAAATTTCTTCGTGGAATGCAATCATGTAAGTCTTTTCATGATGAAGATTATTTCTCCCCGAGGGTATCCATGTCCAAGTAGTCTGTGTTGATGTGACATATCATTGATATGGTCATATTTATAAATTAACAGTTTACCAAACTTTACATTGTTCAGAAAACTAAGCATTTTCTATCCCAGGAATTGATTATGTTACCTCTATTTGACAAATCCGTTCGGAATTTTTTGATTCTCAATGCTCTTAACCTCGTACTAAATGTGGCCTTTTAATTATCTGTGATGAGGGGTTTTTTTTATTATTATTGGATAACAATGAATGCTTAGTGCTGCATTAAATTAAGCAAAATAAAATCAATGTTAGTATGCATAGAGGCCATAATCAGCGAGCATGACGATCTTACTATGATTTGAAATTGAAAAACTCTAAAAAAAAAAAAAAAAACCCACGGACCACTTAAATGCATGAATCATTTCTAAATGTATCAACAATGCATTATAAAACAATACATTATCAATCATGTAATAACCGAACACAAACCTCTGAGTTAATGATACTCTCGGGGACAAAAAGTCCACCATCAGTGATATCGAACCAGTGCTTAAGCATGGAAATATGATATAAATTTGGTGCTTTCAAAGAGTTTATGTGGATCAACCTAAGTATTTTATGGTAACGAAACCCCTGACTCGATAATTTGCCAATTAAACATAATACATCAACCAAGTGAAAGTCTGAAATGGGCAATATTTGTACTTGACTGTCCTGATTTGTCCTCGACCATTTTGAATTGGTCTGAATTTTACTCAAAAGTACTCGACTCTAGTCTGAACCATATTAGGCAGTCTGAACTTGACCTGTACTGAATCATACTAGACCCAAGTTTAACCCAAACTAGACCAAGTATAAACCATACTCGACCAAGTCAATAATCATCGACCTATTCATAATTTATCCCTCTTAATTTTTGTATTAAGATATAAAAATAAAAAATGTGGTATAATTAAAATGAGACTACTCTCCACCAGAGACCAAATGACATAGAAGTTAACAACTATAGGTCACTGTACGGCCTTTACCAACTAGTAAAGCCATTATCACAGTCAGCGATAAAAAGGCCCCGAAATGACAAATGCAAAGCATTTCAAACGAAAAAATAAATAACAGCCTGATTTATGTAAAAACAATGAATGAAATACAAATATGATATACAGCAATAAGCGACAACCTCTGAATCACAGGCTCTATTGTTTTCAAGATTAGTTTCCTTTGGCTAGACATTAGACCAAGAGGTACTACAGGAGAAAGCAATTTGTCATATTTGTTAATAACTGAAAATAAAACATAATTAAAGCAAAGGGGGGTAACCCAATGTTAAAATAAGTGGTTTCTAGTTGAAAAAATCAGTTATACATTGAAGATTGGTAAAGTATAGAATTAATGGTTGAGTAAGGTTCAGGCTTTGGTCGAGTATGTTTCAGACTTGGTAGAGTGTGGTTTAGACCTTAAATTCCGTTGATCAAATTTTTGTTCATACTTTGAAAACAGGTCGAGAACTGGTTAAGTACAGGTCAAGAATGTTTTATGACTGTTTAGCCAGGTCGAGTATGAGTTCAGACTGTAGTGTACATTATGTGCCCTTAAATCCAAGATTTAACTATGAACACGGATGAGGCGAATGTGTTGTGAAATAAATATACCATAAGAAAGGGGCCAAAGAAATGTTAAAATGGCAATGGAAACGAAAAATCATCTCTTATGTCGTAAATTTTTCTATTGTGTTTCAATTGTGAGCTGAGATATCCGAATCAAGAAAATAATTATCATTGCTGTTCTTATAAGATTTATTTAGAGTCACTCCCCTGTTGTAAATGTCTGCAATATTGTAAGTGTGTTCCTGATTATTTATAAAATATCATGATCAAGGTACCGTTAGTGTTATTGATTTTTTTCTATGTGAATTGAAAAGGATCTTCATTGATTTTGATCATAAAATGGTATTCCTAAAAATACAGGAACCTGCTATTGTAAAGGTGAAATTAATGTCCATAGGAATAACGGTTTACTTACAGATAAACTGTATTGCCGAAACGAACATAGAAAAGAGGCGAAAGATACCAAGGAGATAATTAATTAAAGGTCGATGAAAAACCGATAACGCCATGGCAAAAAAAAAAGAAATACGACCAAAAGTCAAACAACAGGATACAAAACACAACATAGGAAACTAAATATTGAACAACACGAATGGTGTCAAAATGGAAATAAACAACTTACTCCTCCCGGTATAATTCCAATAAGGTTATCTTTTATAGGCTTTATATGGGTTTCATAAATAAATTCAAGTGTAGTGTAGACGGTCTTATATTTATGATTGTCAATGGAAATAAAATGACTTAACAATGTATTCAGTTGACCTAAAATATCCAAGAAGATTTTGTTACACTACAGTAAATAAATAAATAATAATTTTGATAGTAGTAATAATGATTATAATAAAAAAAAGATAATAACAATAATGATAACAATAAAAAATAATAACAATAATCATAACAATATTAATAATGATAAAAATATTTTATAAAAAGTAGGCTTAATTTATCTGGATTTTACAACATGCTTTCACACTGACAGTGCCTTGACAATCATGTCATATATGATTCGGTAGCCTTTATTAATTATTACAATCAAAATCTTAACTTAATTTTCTTGTCAACAATTAGTTCTATTTTCTTACCGTAAGAGATAATTTCATGTTCAAGTTGGAACTGTATTTTGGATTGGATGTGTTGCTATTAAATTTACTTTTTTTGTAAAAAGATATGTATCATGAATAGGTATATGATGAAACAGGTGTTATGTAATTTATTCTATTTCATCGATATTTAGTTCCAAGAAAACTGAAAAATCATTATGTTAACAAAGTTGGAATTGAAACATATATACATATGTATACTGTCATTTTCAAATTATGCCCAAATTTTATCATTCTGTATTAGTCACACAAAAATAAAGTTTTGATATGTTCCAAGTTGAACTGCAATTATTCCCAATACCTTTATTACAAATAACTGCTTATTTATAAAATAATGAATATATCTTTAATGTGAAAGACGTTTGTCATCACATTCGCGTTCAGGTTTACTCACTTCTCCGTTTAGAACTGCATTCTCTGTACAACTCATGTTTGGAAACCACAGTTACAAATTCCCATGTAAACCAATACAAACTTGCAGCTTTCATTTTGGATGTTGCCAGTCACAGAATTTTCAGACCGGTTAGCGTTGGAAAAGAAAAAAAAAGATCCTTTTGAAAGCTTTTCTCTGCCAAAAAAGATATTCATGTCATCATTTAGGTCAATTTCTTAGAAACACCTACTTCCTTTAAGGATCAGTAACCTATCATCTCTTATTCATATAAACAACTAATTGCGACTTAAATTTTTAATTACCAACACGTGTTGCAGGATCTCAATATTGACGTCTTCAAGTCTTTACATCATGACTGCACCTGTGATAGTTCCCCATTCATAGATACGTACAACTGACCATGTTGTAACAGATCTCATGAACATATCAATAACACGTATCTGCAAAATGTGTTAACCAAAGGCCCGAAATATCTCTATCCTAAATCCATCAATTAGAAACTTTAAAATGCTGATGAATTCTGTCGAGCATTATTCCAGGCAATAGGCTAACTAAGTACATTTACCAATTGTAAGTTATTCATCATGCATTAAGCTACCAAAATAATGATGCCCTCGGTAAGCGCACAAAAGAAGACGCAGATGATCAGTCTAAAAGGGTTAAGTCTGTTAAATCGTTGATATGTTACAGTGAATTTGTATAATCAGGAATTATGTAGAATTCCTGATTTTTCAAGGATTTTGCATAATCAGTAAAACTATAAGTGATTATATATAATCCCTGAAAATGATCAGTGATTTTACATAATCACTGAAAATTAAAGGAATTATTTAAAATATTCCCTGACATGATTTCATGGATTATCAATTAAACGAAGATCCTATGTTTGTATAAAAATAAATCGAATATAGACAAAACATTCTCTGTATTTCTTAACCTTTTAAGATTTAAGTGGACAGTTTTCATTCCGTGTCCATTTATCAAATCTAAAATGAACAGTTTTCTTGTGATATGACTTTTAACTGGTTGAACCACATGAACTCATCAATTAAAATAGTATTTAAAATTAAAATCGAAATACCAACATTTTCAATGATATTGATAACTGCACATGTATGCAATGAATTGTATTGTTTTCCATAAACAGCGTCATTTGGCGCCTGAAAATTTTACATGCTTAACCTCACCAAATTCTTCACGTGCCTGTCCAAAGTCAGGAGCCTGGGTTTCAGAGGTTGTCGTGGGTTCATGTCTGTCATATATTTTTATCGTAAATTGTTTTGTTATTAATTGAGCCGTAAGTTTTCTCAATTGGATTTTTCATGTCGGGCCTTTTATAACCGACTTTACTGTATGGGTTTTACTCATATTGTTGAAAGCCGTACGGCTGCCTTTAAATGCACAGTGCATGTAATTCGCTGTAAATAAATGGCATTGATTGTTATTTATGTTTTTTGGTTTTCTATGTTCCAATAAAAAAGGAACTAACTAAAACTTGACAAACATTTGCAACTAAACGTATAGAAAAACAAACAGAACACATGCTTGACAGATTGAACACACTTTTGGAGGAGACAAACATTGACTGTATTGTTTTGATACAGATTCTGCATGTTGATTGCAGAAAGAGAGATCCCAAAAATATAATGGCCATTGTTCAAGAATGGACTGAAAATGATATTGCCTGGCTACGAAATAGAATTTTGCTTTGGTCCGACACAAGAAATGAATTTAAGTTTGCTGATAAACATTTTTAACACCTTCTAATAAACATTGCTTGTCTCTTCAACATTGGATAAAATCAGATTAAATTGTGAAGGACAAGGTTTTCTAAAATGGATGCTGTTGCCAAAAAACAACGAAGCATGACAATGGTTGAAAAGTAGAGGTGCAACTATAGTAGATGTCATCCAAATTTACAGGTTTTAGTTTGTAAAAATAAATGATTTGTATTATTGTATTGTACTTAACGTTTTGATATTCATGTTTATAAAGATGTTTAAATATGATGTTGTAGAAAAAAGTTGCATTGTCTCATCATTCCAATTATTATGTATAACCCCTGACATTTGTTTCTAGTAATTATGCATAATTCCTGAAAATTTTAGTGATAATTTATATTCACTAAAATTGCCAGTGATTATACATAATCCCTAATTATACACATTTACTGTAACAGATACAAATTAGAATTCAAAAATTGAATGGTTCTATGACTACACATGATACATCGATCTTTAAAGATCCAACATCTTGGGTAGCAGCTGTCCAACCCTTTGACAACTATGTTGTTATCCAGCAGGTAAAGACCTTCGACTCCTTTCACTAAAACACTCGTAATATATGAACATTTCAGTATATCATACGATCAATTTTAGTTAAAAGATATTTTATGAAAAGAGCACGAGAAAATCCTGAATACTCATAGGTGATTATTTGTTCCTTTATTTTAGAATGTCAACACAAAATGACGAACTGGATCTTCTTACACTTTTTTGGGATACATAAATTACATAAGTGTCCTTACACACAACGTTATATCGCTGGGTCTTCCACGAAACCTTTTTCTAAACTATTACATAAAGGATTAGGTTCAGTAAGACCCCTTTTAGGCCCCAAAATATAGCAGTTTTACAAAATTGTTGAAATGTAAACTTTTAGTTATTTATTGGAAAGTAGAATACTTCTGCTGCATAAATATGGGCTGTTTTTGACAATAGAATGCACATATATCGGGTACTAGCACCCTTAAGTCATGCTAAACTACTGAAATGTTCATAATTTAAGCATTTGAGGTACATTTTAGACGGTTTTCGTCTTGAATGGAAGTGGCCGCATTTGTGTTCATTCTTAATATTTATATATAAGTTGTATTTTATGATAATACATAACATATATAAAGGTTGAGAGTGAACACGGATGCGGCCACTTTCATTTTTGACAAAAAACATCTGAAAAGTGACATATTTTGGCATATTTGATAGATTTTTCATATTTCAGCTTGACTTTGAGCGTCTGAAATGACTAAGCCAGTTCAAATATTTCACATAACATAATGGAATCGACTGAAGTAGACAGTTAAGTGTTTAAAAAGTGTTCAAAATCTTTCATCGGATGAACCTGAAATTTGAGGCCAAAATCGGCCCTTACCGGACCTACTCCTTTATCAGCAATCAAGTTATTGCTATTCTAGGGGCTGTGTGATGAAGATGTGGATACTTAAAAGAGAGGCGAACGATACCAAAGGGAAATTCAAACTCATTGTCGAAAATATTTTAATAATGCCATGGCAAAAAGAGAGAAAAGACCAAAACACAAACAACAGTACACAAAACAAAACATATAAAACTAAAATCTGAGCATCACCAACCCCACCAAAAACCGGGGGTGATCTCAGATACTTCGGAAGGGAAGCATATCCTACTCCACATGTGACACCCGTCATGTTACTCATGTAAGTACAAACCCAAATAACCAAAGATCTGTTAGGGCACATCAAATCTGATTATCTTTCCTTTTACAATAGTATAAAACATTTGACCTTTTCACCATATGAAACGAGCATTCCCCATTCCAAACTTTAAACAATTGATCTTAGTTTGTTTCAACTTAAAAATGGCCAACTTATACCTTCATGAGGTCCTTTAATGAATTTTGCAACCGACTATAAAAGAAAGAAGCTTGCGATAAACGAAGGAACAAAAATACGTTATCATGCAGTAAAGCTTAAATGATCATATTAATTTCAGAGAACATTTTGTTTGACTTTAAGTGAGGATTTTTTTAAAGAAATGATTTTTCTCTTCTAAAACCAGATATCAGTATTTCCATTGGTCTTTTTTGTGCCGTAATGCTGTCAATCAAAGTTTAGATTTGCAAGAATATCGAACAATATGTTTGGCATTGGAGTCAGACATGTATCTAGCATCACTTGATCTTTGAAGATATATATAAAACTAGAACACACGCGCGACATCGAGGGTCCGTGGCTGAATTAAAGTACATACGCTTTAATTTTAGCCTGGAACTTCAGTATTCGTATTGTCATCTTATAAAGTCATGCTGATTATCAATTGAAGGTGAACATTTTTGTCTGCTTTCAAAATCTTACTTTTTGAACCCGTCCTAATTTTCTTTCTATAACCTATTAAGAATGGATATGAATTTCTGTTGTGTGGGTCAAAAATGTAATTGCAGTTATGCCGTTTCTATCCAGTGCTGCACATAGCTGAAATTTCATCCTTTTTTTTTATTTCTGACCGTTTGCTCTGCTTTTTAATGCATTATCGTATATAGATGGTATTAAATGCCAGTGCTTAATTAATTTATCTATTTATGCTTTTTAGTTTGTAAGAATTTTATGATATATAAGTTATTGCTGGTTCCTCTATTCAATACATATAGAGGTGCTTGTCACATGAGCATTGATCCTGGAGATTCAAAAATCAAAAATAATTTGCTTTCATTATACTTGCATGTTTTTTTATTTTTATTTATTAGTAATTGCACGAAGCAGCATGATCTTTGTATAATAGTCGGTTAAAGAGGTCATCAGAGCTCATGTTTTCTTTGTTATTGTGTACATATATGCCGACTCTAAATAAAATTTACTTACTTTATTTACTTAACCGGAAACTACATGTGACATATACTATTGGTATCGAAATCGGATTCGACCAGGAACTTGTTAATTATT